GATGGACCGACCTGCTATGATACCACTATTGTAACACCCTTCTAAACCCCACGAAAAATATACGAATAATCAGAGTAAATTTTCATGCATTCATAAAAGGGCGTCACACATAACTTTCGAAACATCAAAACCACCTGTCATGCTCATTAACACTTATAATAAATAATCATGCTTCTCACAATTTCACTTTGCATGTAGCAGCAGATTCATTTTATAACATAATTCTCTTAACAGAATATTCAGATTCATCACATACTTCAATATTACTTAGGCACCAAGGCCAACATCATAATATTTCAATGAATATAAAAACATAACATAGAATACATAATGTATCTCTAAAATATAAACCAAACGATCCTAGTGTTACATGACCAGAGCATGACTCGACCCAATATAACTAAATTACTAAATGGCTACACCAACAACGACCATGCAACTATGAGCAGCTCTAATCTTGATACCTGCACGATGTCAGATAGGACATCATTCCAGCAGAAGGGTGAGAAATATTATCATAATAATCAATGCATATAATTATATATATCCACAATCTTAGAATACACGTAATCAACATTCTCACCACAAGTCATCCATATACGTCACAATGTATATACAATATATATGGATAATTACCAAACACATTCATCATAATTCACTCATGTACATCGCCATATATATATATATATATAATCCAAGCATAACATCATGCACACTTCCACAATTTCAATCAATCCACATAACATACACATTATGTTTAATTCACTACAATTCATATAAACATATACAATCATGTTTATTCATCAATTCATCAGTCAATATCGTTCACAATTACACATTTTTCACCCAATTCACCAATACACATCACAATATATGTATAAGCAAATATGGATAATCACCAAGCATATTTATCATGCATACATCCATAATTCACATCATCCCACATAAACATTTACAATTATGTTTATTCATCCAATCACAACTCTCATTCAACAATTCATACACATGCATACTTCCATATAACAATGATATATGCCATGTGACTCAATGCAACTCAATGCCATGTGGTACCAACACTTGTTATCATTTTTCGGTTTTTACATTTAAACCGGGTCCGTCCTCTAGACCGATAACAACAAAAGCCCGTCCTCTAAGCTTTCAAACCCACTCTTCTAAGTTTGGGGCAAGTCACTAGTCTCCACGAAACTAGCAAGCATTGCCTCTTGACCAAATGATGCGTATGCAATCAACAACCAAATGAACTTAAGACCGTTCTCGCATGTTAATCTCATGCATTCTCAAATAATTCATCACACAAGAATTATAACATGATTTCACACTCACACATCATATCAAAGTATTCATACTTTCAACATCATCACAATTATCAAGCAATGCACACATATTCACAATATGTTCTCATGCATTATTCACAATATTGCATACAATCAATATGCATTCACAATTCAATGCCACCACCACATTTTTCAAGCAATGCACACATATTCACAATATGTTCTCATGCATTATTCATAATATTGTGCCGAACAACAACGAACCTCATCATAAATCATCATGCATTTTTAATCCATTTAAACAATGCATATATTTGTCAAAAGACCACATTTATCAAGCAATGCACACATATTCACAATATGGTCTCATGCATTCTTCACATACAATCGCATAGAAATCATTATGCATTCACATCATCATGTCAAACGACAACCGAACGCTCTAATTATTTAAGCCTCACTTACTTAAAATAATTAATCTCGATTAATCGGTAAAATCGGCTAAAAGTAGGATAAAAATAATATTTCTTTTCACCAAGTTATAGAACATATTATTAGCTTCAGTTTGATATAAGAACGACAAAATCCGATAAACGGTGAAGAAGTTATGAATTTCCAATGTTTTGAAAAATAATATTTTTCTCACACTTTCCGTTAACCGGTTAACACACCCAGATTTTCAAAATCCTGGCGCATTAACACTCCGTTAATCGGTTAACATATATTGTTAATCGGTTAACAGCTCCAAAAACTCAGTTTTTAGGCCATTTTATATACCGTTAATCGGTTAACCCAAAGTGTTAACCGGTTAACGCCTGAAATTTTGGAAAAACAAGGTTACGGGTTTGTGCCCAAAACCTCCAAAAACCCGACCGATTTAATTATTTTCTCCCGATTAAATACCTACTCATCATTACCAATCAGATAGTAACAATTTAGGATCATAAAGCGCAAATTCTACGACTTCCGATTTTCATCCAAAATCTTAATCTTCAATTGTCCAAAAATGTCAAAACTCACAAATTCAACCAAGTTCAATCAAACGAAATCCAATAATCACGGCTAAACATTACCCGACTAAACTACGCAATTTATTTCGAGTTTCATCCGCGAAAACATCGGTTTCTATCGATTAAACTCATTTCTGCCCTAAAATGGAAAATGAACAAAAACTCTCCAACAATCCAAACCAATTCAACAAACACATACATAATCATACACATTGATAGAATAATAAGATTTCACACCCTTACCTTGATTAAATCGAAGCTAGAAGTTGTTCTTGAAGAATCCAAGCTTCTCCTCTATTTTCCTTCTCTTTTCTCTTCTTCCTCTTTCTTTCTCTACTCTTTTCCTTCTTTCCTTTCTATCTTTTCTTTTTATCTCTTTTCTTTTCACTTTCTCTTATATCCCTTTCTCTTCTATTTCTTTCTTTCCATTATATTTTCTTCTCTTCAAATATCTACCAATTCCTTTAAATAATCATCCAATAATTTCAATAAATCAATTAATTAACATAAATAATTAATTAATGAAAATTGGGCTGTTACACATACCACTGTATCTCTCATTCTTTTTCACAAAATGAATTCAAAAGAAAAAGAAGAATAATAAAAAATAGAAACATGATAAGGCTTCTGATACACGCTGGTGAGTAAGAGATAGATATCCCTCTTTCATTTTCTCAAAAGCCACACAAATCAACTGCATAATTATAAAATAGAAAAAGTTGCGAAAACAAAAGAGAGAAGATCACTTTACTTCTTCATCATAAATATTCTTCCAAAACTATCCGCTACTCTCAACAAAGTAAAAAAATGATATAAAAGAGAGAGATTAAAAGACGAACAAAAAAAGTTGAAGGAGCTTCCTTCTGCTTCTTCATTCAACCACGCAACACAACTTTTCTCCCTCAACTCCAAACACGTCCCATATTCTCTCCTCATATCTCCATTTCTCATCAAAAATACAAAGCAGAGAAAGTGAAAAACAAAAGAAGAAGAAAACGTTATCACTCACCTCACATCTCACCTCTCTTTTTCTTCAACTACCTTCGGCGAACCCCATCTCTGTAACAACGCAACTCCATCGCTCACCTTCCATCACCACCGTGACAAAACCACTTTCCGCCCACTCTAAAAAAACATTGTTCTGACAACGTCCCACCAAGCTTCACCCTCTCTCTCTCTCTCTCTCTCTCTCTCTCTCTCTCTCTCTCTCTCTCTCTCTCTCTCTCTCTCTCTCTCTCTCTCTCTCTCTCTCTCTCTTTCTCTCTCTCTCTCTCTCTCAACCAGCAACAACATCATACCACGTCGACAACGCAAAGGAAAAGAGAAGTAACAAAATCAAAGCAATTCAGTGGGTAACATTTCGACATATTTTATTTTGTGTTTCATTGTGTATCTGTTATTTGTTGTGTATTTAGATTCAAATACCGGTTGTGTTCGTTTAATATATTTTTTGGACTGTAGTTGGACTGTTTCGATTATAACTATGTAATCATGTAAATAATTTGGGACTGTGTGTGCTATTTTTTTGTTGTTGTGTTGAAATCAAATTGCAACGATCTGCAGGTTATATGTTGTGAGTCTGATGTATTTTCTTTTGATTAAAAGATGTAAATATCTAGTATACGTGTTACTGTTTGTTGGTTATTATTGCGTCGAAATCGGATTCAAGCAAATTACGCGTGTTCAACTTGGTTTTATTTGTCAGCATTACCTTACGTGTATCTTGTTTCAATTGCAATGAGTGTGTTTTGTGTTAGCAGTTTGTTGGCTGGTTTCCTTTTGTTTACGTGCGACATTTCAAATTTGTTGTCGTAACATTTAACTCATATATATATATATATATATATATATATATATATATATATATATATATATATATATATATATATATATATATATATATATATATATATATATATATATATATATATATATATATATATATATATATATATATATATATATATATATATATATATATATATATATATATTTGGTAGTTCGACATAATGTCAATTCATGTTTGCTTCCACTACTTTGCGTTTCGTCACATGGCGTTGCTTTCGTTATACACAATTTGTTGTGTTCGATATAGGCAAAAATATCTCAAATTATGAATATAGGCAAAAATTTCCGATATATGAAAAATTTGAAATTTGGAGAAGTTTTAGTTGCTAATCAGAAATTTTGAAAATTGCTGATGTATTTTTGATTTTTTCAAATAAATATCGAAATTTTTAATCCAAACTTAAAAAAAAATGCTTGTTTTTCAAAAATACAAAAATAATCCTATCAAAACTTTCTTTCAAACTACCGTAAATTTAATAAAAGTGAAATTTTAAAAAAATATATAAATTTTAATTGATAAATAATAACCATAACAGTTTAGCGAATATAACAATATAGGAACAGGAGGTTAAATCCTCAAAAGATTGTGGCTAGTCTCTACTTACCTTGTTATAGCCATTTGTTATGATCCTAAGTTGAGAAAGATTATGGGTTAGCGATAGGATAGTTTGAATTTTTCAATTTTTTACTTATTTATAGAAGTATGGTATTTTTTAGATTTAATTTTTAAAAATGGATTATTTATAAAAAGAATCCAAAAAAATATTGTAAAACATGAGAAAATGGATCTAACCGAGACAGATCTAAATCTACTGTCCACTTTGCTACTATCATTTTCTCTGCCGTGATGGCAATTTGTTCGTCACCTTCTTCTTCGTCTTCTTCCTCGATTGCTTCTTCCAATAACTCGAAGGCATGGATCATCGACGGCATCGTGGTTGGAGTTTCAATTGCAGCTGCTGCCGGTGCTTACGCTTACCTCCGTCGATTCAACAAATTCCGTAGCCGGGTTGTAGGCATCATACCCGCTCGATTTGCTTCCTCTCGCTTCTCTGGAAAGCCTCTCGTTCAAATTCTTGGCAAGCCTATGATCCAGGTGCCTTCCTCTCTCTATATACAAAATTATGTTTTCTTCTTTCGAAATTTTATTGTGATTTCTTAGAGTCCGATTTCTTAGTAAACTCTTAAGAATTGTAAGTTGGTTTTCTAAGGTGGGACTTTGTTTTGCAACTTGATTGAACAACTCTAACAAATGAATCCAATGTTTGCGATTTTTTCATGGAAACACCTCATGAATGACTGAGATAATGGCATTGTTTGTCTGATTATTACTGCACCCATTTGTGATCACCTATATTTCCACCTGGGAGTTAGAGAGAATCTTTACATCATGGAAACCTCTATCCTAAACAGTTTTGATCCCATGAATGATGGTCCATGGATATTTGAGCACTAAAAGTAGTACAGGATCCTAACTGTGCTGCAAACCAGACAATGAAATAACCTTTGTCATCTCTAATCACACCCCTACATGCTGCATGATTTGAGGCAGCACCATCGCAATTTTGAAGTCACTTCCTAGGATTTGATGGTTCCCAGTGAACCATCATCTCCCATGTACTGGTCACATTATGAATCTTCCATACGCAAAGATGCTCCCACTCAGAATAATGCAATCTACCATCTTATTACTCCATTTCACAAAGATTTAGCATTTGTTTGCTCTTAAATTCATTAAAGACTGATTAATTGTACATTCTCCACATTTTATTCATCATCATCCCAAACATAATCCTCCAACTCGTACCAGTCTCTTATCAAGTGTCAAGGAGATTTTTATATGCCCACACCCACCAATGCTATGCAGAGATAAAATACTGCTTCCTACTAAAAACCTCCTTCACTTCCCTGCAGTCTTTGAAAATATAGAAATGGTCCTCCAAAGGGTGGGAACATAGCGAACACTAAGGATTATGGTTTAATCCTTGGTAGCAACATTTTTTTGCATTTTCTCATAATGTATTGTTGTAAATAAGTTGTTGATACTTATAAATCAACAACCTTATAAAAAAAACACTCACATCCTTCCATGTAGGTCTGTCCCTGCAGCCCAGCCCAGCCTGCTTCTGTTACTGCTAGCAGTACTTTATTGCCACATCTATATTTACTTCTAATCACCTGAGAAATTGGAGACTGTTGCTCGTAGAAACTTATCTACCTTGCGCCCATCATGTAGGCTGGGTTCACATTTCTACTGTGCCTCAAACCAAGACCACTGTTCTACTTCGATGTACATCAACAGTCCCAAACAATAAGGTCAACTTTATGAGCTTGATCTGTCACCCCAAATAAAATTCATATACTTCCTAATCTAGTTCACCCACTGTTATCAAATTGCGACCATGGTGGCAGCATAGCAGATTGTAGTGGCAGCTTTTTCACCAACTGCCATCGCTAATTTGTGAAGGATTTCGACACCATGGTGTTTTATGGCGGAAATAGCGGCTTAAAATAGTGAAGTTTTGGCATCCTGTCTTGGTCCACCGTCCATAATTGATAACACTAATTTCATCGCGATAGACCGATTTAGGAAACCAAGTCTATTGAATGACACATGAAGGGAGAGCTTGAATAACTTACTTAGCTAGAGCAACTCTCCCCAAAAATGATAAAATCTTAGCCTTTTAGTTGCTAAGCCTTTGGTTTACATTATCAATAATGTACTAGAATGTTTGCCTGGATACCTTTTGATGAAGAATAAGATCCACAAGATATTTCCACTTGACTCACATAGCATCACTTAATTGTTGTTTGGTATTCCAACCTATATTCCTTGATGTTTATGAGTTGTTTTAAAAAGTTGATGTTTGATAATTATATGTTAAAAGTGAGTTTGAAAAAACTGTTTTGTTTGGATGGTAAAGTACAAAGGATTTTGTGGATCCTGTCCATAGTCAATTTTGCTCAAAGGAAATGCTAGAAATAAAGTTATCGATAGCGGCGCTATCCTGGGATAGCGGCCCGGAGCAGTGACCCTCCGCTATTTGATGCTTAGCATCCGCTATTTGATGTTTAGCGGGTAGCGGGAGCGGGGCGTTTGCCGGCCCAAGCGGCTTTGAACTGTTTTGAACTCGAAAACCCAGATTTACCCTTTAAATAAATCTAATTTGATTTTACATCTGATTATCATTGCCTCTGTTTTTTTAAAGTATACATCTGATTTTCATTGCCTCTGTTTTTTTAAGTTTAAGTAATAGTCATTTATTAACTCCATTCCTCTTCTTTCTTTGGTTTTACATTAAATATATGTTTTATAGATTATTCATATAATTAGTCTAAAAAATAGTCAAATAGTGGTTATCCCGCTATCCCATTTTTGGGATCGGCCGCTCCGCTATCTGGGACTGATAACTTTAAATACTTTTTGGGAAAATGCATGGTCGTTTGTTGTTGGTTGGAAATGCTAGAAAGTATTTCTCACATCAAAATCAATTTTTCTGCAGACAATTTTATAATCAAACAATATATTACTGTAGCAACGGGTTTCATCAAATCCAATGCACTGAAATGAAATGATCATTGGGGGCTTCAGGAACCTCAAACAAACGTACACTAAATACTTGGCTTATACATTTTTTAGTTTATTAGAAATTAGAAATTAGAAATTGAAATGTTCAGTATGACTTGTGGACATATTATTCCCAGCACTTTTTCTTGTCAAAAGTTATTGTCTATAATGATCAAACGATGATGTGTTTTACCTATAATAAGCTGAGTTTTACAGAGAACATGGGAAAGGGCAAAGCTGGCAGCTTCATTGGATCATGTTGGTAGGTCTATTTGCATGATCTTTCTCCAATTTGGCTAAACTAACTTTAATATATAACCTTGACTTGTAATAATCTCTGAACACGACATATGGATACATGCCTCTATATGAATCTAGGATCCATGTACTATTTGTTGCACTTGGCCACATAATTTTAATATGAAGAGTTTTGCTTCAAGAGTAAACCACAGTTTAATATCTGTTTTCAAATGCATGTCCAACATCTGATGCTTCTGAGGGGCTAATTTGAACAGAGCAATACAAATTATACACACTCCCATTTTTAATGTGGTAAAAGTTAATTTTAATGCATTCTATGCATGCCGATTGATGTATCATATTCAATAACAAAATATTCCTTTTTATAATTTAGTATTTTCTTAGTGAACATGTGAATATCTATCTGGCTTACTTCTGAGGTCTAATTGGTAGTTTTCTCTGGTTTTAGTTGTGGCAACTGATGATGATAAGATTGCTGACTGCTGTAGGAATTTCGGTGCAGATGTCATAATGACATCAGAGTCTTGCCGAAATGGTAAGCATACTAGTATCATATTTCAACTATTGAGTTCTTTTTCCCCAACATTGTTTCATACTTTGTTTTGCTTATTAGGTACTGAACGCTGCAGTGAAGCCCTAGAGAAGCTCGGGAAAAAGTATGATATTGTTGTCAACATTCAAGGTGATGAACCACTTATTGAACCTGAAATAATAGATGGTGTTGTCAAAGCTTTGCAGGTACAATTTGAACAAAAAGAATTATTCTTTTCATGCCAGAAAATGAAAGTTCTATGAATTAATTATTATTTACTTTAAGCTGTAGTCAATATGTGCACTTTAACTCTTAAAATAAACGGTGAATCCACTTTTCCGAATTGCTAATCAAAGTTGTGTCAGGTTATATGAGGATCATTACATCTAAGAATCATAACTTTATGTCCAAAAGGAAATATTATATTCTTCCACGAATACTGCATTTTATCTTGCTCCTTACAGGCAGCGCCAGATGCAGTTTTCAGCACTGCAGTTACCTCTTTAAAGCCTGAAGATGCGCTTGATCCAAACAGAGTAAAATGTGTAGTTGATAATCGTGGTTATGCCATCTATTTTTCACGAGGATTAATCCATTCAATAAGTAAGCTGGAACTAATTGAAATTTCAGAATTTGAGTCTTAATTATTCCATCATTCACAAGACATCTTGTGAAATTTTTGTTAATTTTTTTTTGTATTGTATACATTTTGTAAAGCTGGATAAATATCTGCATTCTTCCTACAGGTCAGGGAAAGTCAATCAAGAGTTCCCTTATTTGCTTCATCTTGGGATTCAGGTATTGATGTTCAATTCCTTTAATTGGCAGGCATAGCAACCATTGCTCAAAATTAGTCAGTTTCTTCAAGTTCCTTGTGAGATAATATTTCTGTGTACTCATCTTCCAGAGTTATGATACAAAGTTTTTAAAGATATATACATATCTTCAACCTACTCCATATCAACTTGAGGAGGACTTGGAGCAGCTTAAAGTTCTTGAGAATGGCTATAAGATGAAGGTATTGTCGCCTTTCATTCCTCTTAAAACATTCAAATTTTTACTTGGTTATTTTTAAATTGACCTTATATAAAGTTATTTCATAATTTATACCCTTCAAATCTTAGTATAAAGTCTGGTTGCCAACTTGCCATTAGATGTGGTTTCTTAAAAAAATTAACGGATGGCTAACCAATTTAAAATTCCATCATATTTCTCATACTTTAATAAATTTATGAACTTGTGATTTAATGCGAAGAAATGGATTAAGAGTCATGAAATTTTAAATAGTATTTGAGTTAGGATAGAATTGAAAACAAATG